AAGGAAGTAGTCCTCTTTTATTTTTTATTTTTTATTTTATCTGTTGATTAGGGCCGGAGGAAAGTATTGTTGGGTTGGTTACCTACCTACGTTTTCCCTCCCACCCACCCCTTGCATGCATCCCGGTTCGGTACAGTGCCACGTCAGCAGCGCCACGTCACAGTGCCAGATCAGCAGTGCCACGTCAGCAGTGCCACATCAGCAGTGCCAGGTCACAGTGCCACGTCAGACTCAGTGCCACGTCAGCAGTGACGTCAGACACAGTACCACGTCAGCAGTGCCACAGCAGCAGTGCCACGTCAGCAACATGACGGACCTGCCAGGGCAACTGCCCAACGAGTCCCTTGCCGCCTACAAGCAGCGGTTCCACGCTCAGATTGAGGCTGAGGAACAACGCCAGCTGGCAGCCGAGGCTGCCCGCGCACAGGCTGAAGAGGCAGCAGCAGTAGAGCAGCTGCGGCTACAGGCCGACGCAGACGCAGATGCCCAGGCTCGCCGCAAGGAAGCCCAAGATCTGCTGCAGCGGCATGAAGCCAACAGCATCGACAGACTTAAGTTCTGGCACTTCGAACCGAACGGCGACGAGGCAACACCGGAAGAGAAGCACAAGGAGTTCCTCTCCAAACTCGTGACAAGGTTGTTGTATGCTTGCAACTACCAACGGTCAGAGTTGGAGAGACAGTACCAGGACCTGACGCAACAGCATGAGGAGTTGGCAAAGCTCCGCCGCATAGTGCAGAGCCACTAGGATGCAACTCGGGCACTCAATGTCCGATTGCTGGACCTGGAACAGGCTGTACCAGGACCAGCTGCTGGGGCTTCCAGCAGTGCACCCTCTAGCCGCCAACTGGAGGACCGCGTTGACCACGTAGTGGCAATGCTCGGCGACATCAGCACTTTCGCTGCGCCGACCACCACCATCAGCAGTCAGCTGCATACATTGAAGACCGAGGTCCAACAGCTGCAGTCGACGAATGCGGACGACAATCCGAAGATGTACAAGATGCCAACTTTCAACCTGGAGAGGTTCGACGACTACACGCAGCAGGATCCAGTCCTCTGGTGGGAAGCATTCACAACGCAACTCAGGATTCTGCCCGTAGCCAAGCATGCGTACATCGGCGCCCTGTTCCTGAACTCAAAGGGTGGATGCCAGACCTGGTTGAGCCACCTGGCAACCTCCCACGGCGCCGACGTACCAGACTTGAAGGACAAAATCACATGGGAGGAACTGACACGGCTGTGGAAGAAGCGGTTCATCGTCGACGACGCGCCGGCACTCGCCATCAACCGTTTGTTCACCATGTCACAGGGCAATACAGCAACACGGGACTGGCTCACGGAGTGGCAGAAGATTGCGGCTGTGCCCAATCTGAACCTACCATTTGAGCATCTACGCCGTGAGTTCTACAACAGGTCCTGTGCAGCATTGAGCCAGGCTCTTGGTGATCGCGAGCAGTACTCAACCTTCGCAGAGATCATTGACAAAGCGAGGGAGATCATCAAGACCAACAGATCAACTGCACACGAGAAATCAACATCATGGCAGCCGACCTATGTGGAGAAGGTACGAACTGGTCCGCGACAGCAGCACTTCGCTGCAGTCCAGCAGGACAGTGGAGATAACCGAGCAGCCACTCCAGTATCAAGTGACGGAGATCAGGTGGCCGCTGTCCAGCCRCGAAGCACCAACAAGTCCCGTAACAATGGGAAGGCGAAATCCGCATCGCARGCCGGAAATGGACAGCCAAGACAGTTTCCATGGGTCAAGTTCGGCTTGACCGAGGCGGAGTACAAGGTCCGCGGCCGCTACGGCAGCTGCTATTGGTGCAACAACACCAAGCACAAGACCTCCCTGTGCCAAGATCAGGGCAAGGAGGATGTGCGACCCCGCCTCAACTCGCGAAACTGAGCTCCGCGGAAGGTGAGGCGACTCCACCTTCTACTCCGCCAGATTCGGCCGCCTTGCTAGCGGCCTCCTGCACATCTGGGGAGGATGCGAATGTCGCAAGTCCTCGGTATACTTACGAGGATTATGCTGTCCACTTGGTTCCACCGCTGGACCAACCGCTCCACGTGCAACAGTCCACCGCATGCACGGTTTCATCACCATCGGCAACCGATTCGGCAGCTTCGCCGCAACCTATCGCCGGGGATTCGACGTCATG